TTTTTTTTTTTCAAATTAATGTGTAAGTATTATACCTTTTTAAAAAGAGGAATAAACGCGTCAAAATTTGACGTCACTTGCCATACTATTTTGGTACATTTTTTTTACACTACAGTCGGTCAAAGTTGCGAAATTCAATAGTTTTCCATATCACCTTTAGTTAAAATAATATTTTATTTTAAAATGGTACAATAAGTACTTTATTTTTACATTCTATTTAGACACAGCAATACCCTAGATTACAAAACCTCCAAGAAATATCGAAATTATCAGCATTAGCAGTCACAGCATTCAAAAGTATGTCACAGGGTGCTCATTTCCCCTTTTTTTTTGAAATCAGTATAATTCTGTAAGTACATGGGGTGGATTTTTTAAAATATTTTTCTGAGTACTGTTAGAACTTGGGGCATCGTGGGAATCCAGTTGGACGCCAGGTTCTTGGACACCCTGTATACAATGTAACACTCACTTTTCGCTATTTATGGCATGAGTCCCATGTAATAGGGGTGAGCCTATTCCCATATACAGACGACTTGCTACTACTGAGATTTTATTTAAAACCCAGTAATACTTTGCCCGACTCGGGAATCGAACCCGAGACCCCTTGCCAACGAGGCAGTCGATCTCCATCCATCTTAATAATTCATATGTTTTGTAGATTTCTTGAAAGCTCGCGAAGTATGGTTGGACAACCCGTTAATGTACGTAGACGCGGACACCATAGAGCCATTGGTTAACGAATACTACAGGACAATCGTCAAGTGTGTGAGAGTATTCCAGGATATGCCCAAAGTGCAGCAAGTCGCCGTCACTATAAGGGTACGTAAAATTTTATATATCACACTAACTAAATCGGCATAATTTTATTATTGTAACTTCGTGAGACATACTAAATAAATTATTACGTTTTCGGCTTACTCACGTAATAATTTGACGAGGAACTTGACTAGTTTCAAGCCATGCTAGAGGCTCATATTCATGAGCAGCATAATACCCGCGACGCGGCGACTATCGCGCTGCTACTGGCTACTCGAATGAGCGGGCCCAGCGCGCCCTCTGCCGTGATTCACGCGCACGCACCTCCACTCGTGTTATTCACCTTATTAATTCTATTACAGGACTACATAGATGCCTTTAGGCCACTGATACCCATTATACAAGCCGTCAGAAACCCTGGAATGAAGGACAGGCATTGGAACGAGTTTATGGAGAAAGCTGGTAAAAATTTTGCTATTACTTAAGAAATATTAGTTCATATCCGCCATTCGGTCGTATGTGTGTTTCAAATTGCTTGTTTGACCAAACCGGGATGAAAAAGATGTATATCAATGTGAAAGTTTGTAAGGATACATGGAAGTATTTGTATGTTTGTGTTTGTTTGTTGTTCTTACACGCAAAAACGTAGTGAACGAATTTGAATAAAATTACACAGGCACTTTCATATCTCGATTACGCGGGCTAAGCCGCTGGCAGTGTTATTAGTGTCTAAATAAAGGACTAGAGTAGAGTTAACAACTTAATTATAGACAAATAGCTTCTGCTAGCGGCTTCGCTCGCGTTCCAGACCACAACCTACACATGTTCTAAATTTCATCTCGATCCCTTTAGCCATTTTGACGTGAAGGGGGAACAAACAAACAAACAGATGTACTAACATTCGCATTTATAATATCAGATTAGTATCTATATTTATCCTATCCTACTAATATTCCCGAGCGTACGGCGCGTCGCGTTCCGCCCGCGCCTTAAAGAGCCATCAGACCACCACAGATGGGGCCCAACAGTGCCAAGGCCGATTCGGAGTCGCGGAGAACCTAACGGGTAACCGGGGTTCCGACTCGACGTGCAGGAGAAGGAACGGGGTGGTTTTTAGTCAGTAAGAGTCTGACACTCCCTCCCGCCTCACCCAGGCGGGAGCAGCCATTCGATGATTTTCCCCCCTTAAAAAAATCCTACTAATATTACTACTATTAGTCTTAATATTTTAGTCATCATTTTTAATGCATATTTTTATGGCCTATGTAAAGTTTTTTTGTGAAGTTCACATACATATGACACCCAGACCCGGAATAACAATTTGTGGATCACACAAAGTGTTGTTCCGTGCGGGAATCGACACCAACCGTGCAGTCAAGGCAGTTGGTAAAAGTTGATTTAAAGTTCCCAACAACTCGACCAATGAGATGAACGTTGCATTCATTGTTTCTAGGTATAACGGTGACTATGAACGAAAAACAAACCTTCCAAATGTGCATAAAGCAAGGGGTGGCCGCTCATGGGGAGTTGATCGCAGAGATTGGTGAACTCGCCAGCAAAGAGTACGTTATTGAGCAGTGCCTGGATAAAATGCAAGGAGATTGGGCCAACAAGGTTTTGGAAGTCAGCGCGTATAAGAATACTGGTAAGTCAAACAATAGAGTAGATGCCTAATTTTTATTTTAATGTCCGTCTGGTAGATTATTTTAAATCATTAGACACGTATTTTTCATTTTCTTACAGAAACGAATACTTCCGACGATATATTGATTTGAAATGTCGCGTGACGTCATTTCTATGTACATTTTATACGTAGAAATGACGTTTTAGCCCACACTCTTAAACTTTGATTCGTTTTATCTAAGTATTGTCTTATTATACGACAAAATAAAAGAATACGTGTCTAATATTTTTTCATTACTTAACTTACGGACTAATTAGATTTTTAATTTTCATACTCTGTCATCATCCCAATTATAGTGTGGTTTAGTATTTTCTCTCGGCCATATTTCTTCTTGGGTTATGTATCCATCTATTCATATTAATAAAATACGAGTGTCTGTTTGTAATATTACAATAACCGCTTTTTATCCCTTCGATGCAATACACACCTAAATAACATTTTTCAATTTTGTCTATCTGCCTGTTTGTTCTGGCTAAGCTTTGAAATAGCAGGACCGATTGGGATGGGAAATTTATTGCCATCTAGCTGATGTACTAAGGAATAACTGAGGTTTTTTCCACGTGAAGGACGTCGCTGGTACAGCTAGTTATATATTAAACAGAACGTTACTCATGCGGGGTAGTGTTATCGTTTTTGTCAAGTCGAAGAAATGGTGAAAGCCTTCTGTTTTTGCCTCATTATGAAATGACGATGAATTCTGAAACTGACGGGTAGTTGAAGAAATGCTAAGTTCTTCCTTAAAGTTCTTCTCATGTACTAATGATTATAACCTTAATTCAAGTTTTGGATTGTTGTGAACTTCCATCTCATTACAAAATAGTATAAAACATTGCTTCTCGTTATAGGTACTTATATCATGAAGATAGCAGACGAAACTATGCAATTGCTTGACGAACATCTCCTGGGCACTCAGCAGTTAGGTTTCAGTCCTTTCAAAGCGGCGTTTGAACTACGCATCCAGGAATGGGATGATAAACTACGACTGACTCAGAGGGTAGTTGATGAGTGGATAGAATGCCAGAAGTAAGTGATTAGATCCTAATAGAATTTGAAATCTGTAGGTTGTTATTGAATTCGTGAGCAATATTTTAAACTAAGATAGTAACAGTGTCGTCAGTCCTAATTGAAAAGGGTCGTGGTGGCCCGGAGGTTTAAGACGCCTGCTTCTCATGCATGAGGGTGCGGGTTCAAAACCTACCAACGGCAAGTACCAATGTGACTTTTTCCGAGTTATATATGTACTTTCTAAGATTATTCAGATACCACTGACAAACGTTGAAAGAAAACTACGTGAGGAAACCTGGGTTTATAATTTTCTATGTACCTAACTGTAAGTTTAAAATCGCCAACCCGCATTGAGCAAGCGTGATGATTAATGCTCAAACCTTCTCCGTGTGGGAAGAGGTTTTACTCAGCAGTGGGCATTATAGGCTGTTGATGAAGATAGTAACTGCGTCATGGCGACTATTACAGAACCAAAAATATTAATTAAGACAAAGATGATTAGGTAAATGACGCAAATAGTGTAATACATTTGTGTCAGCTTGGAGTTGTCATGCTCAATTGCTCACTCAAAAGTCTCATTGGCGGTGGCACGTGCAGTGGATCGCTCGATTCCCTACAATATGGTTGAGTTGAGCGGTGCTGGTGTGGTACGTGTCATCTTCATGAACGGGCGGTGTTAACTGGGACTGGTCAGCTCCAAACTGCAGTATTTTATTGTTTTTATTTTTGTTTTGACGTCCAAAAGTGCCTTCCTGGTCTAATTGAAATAAATGATTTTGACTTTGACTTTGAATATATATGTATATTTTTTATATTTGATGGGCCGCCGTTTGCCTACTATCTCGCTTGGTGGTAAGTGATAATGCGGTCTACGATGGAGCACGTCGACCCATAGGCAACCTATTCACTCGGACCTAGAAGACAAAAAATATTAAAAACTGCAATAGGGTAGATGCCTAATTTTTATTTTAATGTCCGTCTGGTAGATTATTTTAAATCATTAGACACGTACTTTTTTTTCTTACACAAACGAATATACTTTCGACGATATATTGATTTGAAATGTCGCGTAACGTCACTTCTATGTACATTTTATACGTAGAAATGACGTTTTAGCCCCCATTCCTAAACTTTGATTCTATTTATCTAAGTATTGTTTTATTATACGACCAAATGAAAAAATACGTGTCTAAAATTTTTACATTACCTAACTTACGGACTAATTATTTTTTAATTTTGTTACCCTGTCGATCATCATCCCAATTATGGGCACAATATATCGCGTCTTGTATGCGTCATTGACACTCACAATAATTAAAACATGTTGAATATTTTAATTTACATAACTGAAGTTATTCGAAAAATCCGATATAGAACACACTATTGATAATGTGTGAACTCTTAGCCCCTTCTAAATCACGTGTCTTTATGTACGGTATTGTAAAGTTGCTAAGTTCAGTAGATATGTGTCCTATTTTTTCTTACGAAATCTTATTTTTTTTCTATTATACCACAGAGAATGGATGTACTTGGAGCCTATTTTTACTTCGGAAGATATAGCTAGGCAACTGCCCATGGAAACCAAGAAATACGGCACTATGGAGAGGATCTGGAGACGCATCATGTCGTCTGCCGCTGCCTGTCCTAAGGTCTGATGTACTTCCGCAACTGCTGGGCTATTTTGAACTGTCAAATTCGAAGTTTAGAAGTGAGTTCGCTCGCTTTCTCGCAACGTCATTGGTCGAGATTATACTCATAACCAATGACATGGCGGATCGGCGAAAGTGTTTATACCGATCTTTCGAATTGAAAGTTGCAGAATAACCTAGTTGATCGTTATTTGTTAATTCAAAAGTCTATAATTGTCTACTATCAATATTGTTAACAGAAATTACTCTATAAATTACAAAAAGTGTAAATTACATTAAGTGTGGCAGAGCCATGCTTCGGCACGAATGGGCCGGCTCGACTGGAATGCTACCACGGCCCCACAGAAAACCGACGTGAAACAACGCTTGCGTTGTTTCGTCGTGTATGTGAGGTTACCGGAGGCACAATCCCCGAATCCTCCACAATCCTCAAATTCTCAATTCCACAATTCCCAAAACGCCGGTAACGCACTTGTAAAGCCTTGGTGTTTCAAGTGTCCATGGGCGGCGCAGATTGCTAACCATCAGGTGATCCGGCGGCTCGTTTACCGGCTTATGCCATAAAAATATCTTTAATACGTTTGTAACATAATCTTTTATGTAACCGTTTTATCGATATCAATGTCGATGGTAAAACTCCTGACGACATTAAATTCATGATGGAGACAGCACACTAGAATTTGTAACAATGATGAAGATATTCTGATATCGAAGTCTTGATTTTGTATAAAATTTTCGCAGATCATGATTATATGTCCGGACAGTCGGTTGTTGGACAGTTTGCAAGAAGCCATTCACTTATTGGCGGTAGTGTCTCGAGGACTCAACGAGTACCTAGAACTGAAGCGGTTGAGGTTCCCGAGATTCTTCTTCCTCAGTGATGATGAATTGCTGGAGATTCTTTCACAGTCTCGCAACCCAAGGGCAGTACAGCCTCATCTCAGGAAGTGCTTCGAAAATATTGCCAAGGTAAAAATAATATGCTGTGAAATGGGAATGTTTAGACCATGTGCGTGCGTGCGTGCGTGCGTGCGTGCGTGCGTGCGTACTTGCGTGTTTGTTTGTTTGTTTCTCTGTTACGTCAAAACAGCTGAAGGACAATGAAGCGATCGAGATGCAATTAGGAACAGGGGTAGATTATGGCCTGGTTCCGTTGAGGGAACGAGATCTCGCTAGACGACTTGTATAGCTCTGTTTCTTTCCCTCAATGGAACCATTCTGACTATAGGACGTCATAATAACCCCACTGGTATTACTAATACTATTAGTAGGTACTGTACAAAGTGAAGTGGTTGCATGAACGACTGTCTAATTAAATATTTAGCTAAAATGTAAGAATATGTCTCAGGTTACCTTCCAGTCGGACCTCACGATCATTGAAATGCACTCCAGTGAGGGAGAGATCGTTGAACTTAAGTACAAGTTCCGTCCAACTTCTAACGTGGAACAGTGGCTGCTTCTACTTGAAGACACCATGAAGAACACCAGTAAGTTTTTTAAACTGTTGTGAAAAAAATACATAACACATAACATCACGCCTTTTATCCCCAAAGGGGTAGGTAGGTAAATGCAGCGGTGCCCATTACACCACTTAATGCCACTGTACAATGTAACACACACTTTTCATTATTTATGTTATGAGA